TGCGTTGCTTTAGAAGCTCATCCTATTGCAATCTTTCAAATCAAATCTAGAGGTTAAGGATTTTATATTCGATTTCGTTGATTCTGCGTTGCTTTAGGTTCTCATCCTATTGCGATCTTTCAAATCAATATTCTAGCGGTTGAAGATTTTTATTTCTCATCCGATTCCGCGTTGCCTCAGGAGCTCATCCTATTGTAATCTTTCAAGTCAAATTCTAAATGTTGATCTAAAGGTTGAGGATTTTACATATGATTCCGCGTTGCTTTAGGAGCTCATCCTATCGCAATCTTTCAAATCTAATTCTAGAAGTTGAGGATTCCATATCCGATTCCGCGTTGCTTTAGGTTCTCATCCTATTGCAATCTTTCAAATCAAATTCTAGAGGTTGAGGATTCACATCCGATTCCGCGTTGCTTTAGGTTCTCATCCTATTGCAATCTCTCAAATCAAATTCTAGAGGTTGAAGATTTCATATTCGATACCACGTTTCTTTAGGAGCTCCTCCTATTGCAATCTTCCAAATCAAATCCTACAATATATTAGAGTTTTAGGATTTTACATCCGATTCTGCGTTGCTTTAGGAGCTCATCCTATCACAATCTTTCAAATCAAATTTTAGAGGTTGGGGATTTTACATCCGATTCTGCGTTGCTTTAGGAGCCCATCCTATCGCAATCTTTCAAATCAAATTCTAGAGGTTGAGGATTTTACATCTGATTCCGCGTTGCTTTTCTCATCCTATTGCAATCTTTCAAATCAAATTCTAGAGGTTGAGGATTCCACAACCGATTTCCCTTTGCTTTAGGTTCTCATCCTATTGCAATCTTTCAAATCAAATTCTAGAGGTTGAGGATTCACATCCGATTCTACGTTGCTTTAGGTTCTCATTCTATTGCATTCTTTCAAATCAAATTCTAGAGGTTGAAGATTTCATATTCGATGCCGCGTTGCTTTAGGAGCTCCTCTTATTGCAATCTTCCAAATCAAATCCTACGATATACTAGAGGTTGAGGATTCTACATCTGATTCCGCGTTGCTTTAGGTTCTCATCCTATTGCAATCTTTCAAATCAAATTCTAGAGGTTGAGGATTCACAGTTGTTTTAGGTTCTCATCCTATTGCAATCTTTCAAATCAAATTTTAGAGGTTGAGGATTCTACATCCAATTCCGCGTTGCTTTAGGCTCTCATCCTATTGCAATCTTTCAAATCAAATTCTAGAAGTTGAAGATTTTATATCTGATTCCGCGTTGTTTTAGGAACCCCTCCTATCGCAATCTTTCAAATCAAATTCAATGATATTCTCGAGGTTGAGGGAATAAGCACTTCGATTAATTCAAGGCATCCTATTTTCATCTTTTGAAATCAGTTTTAAGACCACCATAAATGGATTATGGCATCTGATTCTTATTTTGGGACTGATACCCAAATTTCAATTCCCACCTCGGGGTCAGCACTTACATACTGATTCCCATCCTTTATAAATACCTAAAATTTTATAACTCAAAATTCACTCTCCAATCCCTAGCGAGTGTCCCTGTCCCTACTCCTTGATTTCAATTCTCGGACCTTCTTTTGAATTGAGAGTTT